TGTAGAGAGCCATGATCATTAACGTCCGTAAAGTACATGGCATATAAAAGAAGAAGTAACAGTTTGCCTCCAGTCTGATACCGTCGTTAGCAAATACTTGGAACTGATTGGATATTTTAAAAGATCCGATAAATTTGTGTGGTGCCTCGAAAAAAATAGAGGAAAGCTAAAACGCATGTGGAGGAATAAAATAATTCTCTGGAATTTGATGACCGGACAGGAATTGGTAGGGATAGCGAAGAGAAAGATCTTAGAACCACAAAGAATAGTAAATTGTGGGGAGCCATGATCGCGCACACCCTAAAAGGACACAGTACATAGTAAAAATGTTTTTAAAATATACTTCAATCTGGCTCGGATTGTCACGGGAAAAAAGTTACTTGGAGCAAAAAAGGAAATCGTGGCGAGCCATGATCGACCACGCATATAAAAGAAGAGGACAACCACGGCGACATCAGTTTTTCTCCTTACGTCGATATATATATATATATATATATATATATGTATGTATGTGTGTGTGTGTATATATATATATATATATATATATATATATATATATATATATGTTTCATTAAAGACGACTGACAAGGTACTGCGATTTCGGCTATTCTTCTTGCCATTATCAACGGTGACTTTTATTGTTTATTCTTAACTGAATGTATGGATTTTTTTATGTATCTAGAGTTATAGGAATGTTTTTTTCCAAACACTGCTAGCACATTATGGCCCTGTTCGTAGTTCATGTTATTGTTTGTTGGCTTTTTCTTTTTTTATTAATAATGCTTTCATTACTTTTGGCCTTTTTTACATGTGGGGTGAGGCTATTAAGGTTGTATTTTCTATGAGTATGTTGCTGGTTGAGTTTAATAGCTTTCCGTGTGTGTTTAAATACGACTACATCTAATGTCAAGAGGGCTCACGCTACATCTCTCTGTTCATAGCTCAATTAGGACTCATTTAAACCAATACGGAAACTTAAGTACATAGATTTTAAATATTTTTTTAAATGAAAAATCTTTTTAGAGCTTTTATTTTAGTTTGAATTTCAAGCTAATAGATTAAATTTGATATATGCAAAATACTTTGCTGTATTTCAAAAACTAATTTAAATTGACTGGAAAGAGATTCTTTTTCGTTTGTTTTTCTTTTTTTTTTTTTTTTTTTTTTTTTGCTAAAATAACTGATTATCACCCTTTTTTGTCTTTCATCGCAATGTAATTCTCTTTATGAAAAAATCCTCCAAAAATAAAATATGCTTTTCTGAATTTGAATTTCTTTATTTGAGGAATATTAGCTGATTTAAAGTTTCATTAATTTGAGTTTAAAATATCTCAGAAATGCATTTTTTAAGACAACATTAGAGTTGACAGCCTGATGACAGATCTAATGTTGTTCTACGAAGATTTTCTGTGTAAAGCATAATTAAAAGAAAATGACGTGAGCGCCGTTTTTATATAATTTTTAAGTTCTCGGTAATCTTAGGAATTTAAGTAAATATTCTCCGTAATTTAAATGTTTTATTAAATTTTGGAAACGTTACCTTTAAATTTACTATAGTTACCATTCTTATTTTCTGATAATGTTGTGTATGATCGCTCTTAATTACAAAAATCGGCACGTTTATACACACAAAAAATATTGTTGCTCGATGATTTGTATTAAGCATTTCCGTTTATGATTAATAAATATAGTTTTCACTTAATAATAATATGATCTAAAAGTCTGAAATTAATACAGAATTTTAAAAGATTTAAAACTTAATATTTTTCTAATTAAAATTAAAAAGAAATGTAAACAATTCTTACAAAAATCCATATTCATCGAAAAATGTTTTCTTAAGACAATAGTGTCCTTAATATATCTTATTTATAAAGGCAATTAAAAGCTTTTCTAATTAAATAATACTATAGTTCTATTAATCTTTTTTCATTTTATCATTCAGAACAGATTTTTGGTAAATGATGTTTCAGTTTGACAAAAACAAATTGATGATTTAAATTCTCCAAGGTGTCTTGCTTGTAAGTAATGTAAATATGAAGAGAATGGAATTTTAATTTCTCGAAATTTTATAAAATGATGTAAGTGGGGATAAGGGATGTAAAAAAAAAAATTTACCAAGATTTTCTGAAACAAAATTTCAAAAATAATTTAATTCATTTGTGAATAAGTCCTGAAAATTTCATTAAAATCCAACAGTTATTTTATTTTTGCAAGAATTTCCAAAACAATGTTTTTAACACCAAAAAAAAGACGCTAAAATTTTCAATGGTATTCGGACGCAAGAAAAACAAGATTTTTAACCAAAATTTCGAACGTGCTAGAAAGGATTCAAAAATTTAATAAAATAATAAAAAATACGTTGGTCTTTCCTCTTAATAATTAGAAACATTTTGACGATAAAACTATTTTTATCAAGTTTGCAGCCTATTTTTCATTACGGTAGACTCTTTTTGTAGAAAATGTACGTATTGGTCTACCTAATCGCGATATAGTTTTTTTATTTTATTTATGCGAAAGTTATTATTTTTAAATTATTATTTAATATTTTCATTTCGATATACTAATTTATATATTATTTTATATACACGATTCTTCACATTTTTTTTGTATGACTATTTTTTAAAGAAACATGGTCTGGAGTGAAAATACTAGCGGAAGAGTTTGCTGTGTCGTCATCGGCTTTTGGTGATGTCATTGATTAGAATTTGTTTACAAACAAACAATGTCATGTGTCAACGACAGATGGATGACGACACGTCATGTAAATATCAATGGAATGGTCATGGATACGCCGATTAAATTCACTTCTCTCTTTCTGACTGCTTTCCTTCCTTTTTTTTTTCTTTGTCTTTCGGATATTTGAAATTTTTTTTTTCATTTTTGAGCTTTCATATTGTTTTCATGCTGCTTTCAATCTTTCTTCCTTACCTTTTTTCTTTACATTGTCTATAATTTTCTTTTTCTTTCTTTTTCTTTCTTTACATTTTCTCTAATTTTCTTTTCTTTCTTTTTTTCTTTACATTGCCTATAATTCTACTTTCTTTCTTTCTTTCTTTCTTTCTTTCTTTCTTTCTTTCGTTCTTTCTTTACATTACCTATAATTCTTTCTTTCTTTACATTATCTATAATTCTATTTTTTTCTTTACATTATCTATAATTCTATTTTCTTTCTTTCTTTCTTTCTTTCTTTCTTTCTTTCTTTCTTTCTTTCTTTACACTACCTATAATTCTATTTCTTTCCTTCCTCCATTCTTCCTTTCTTAAATAACCCACAGGATTGATATACCAGAAAACCCATCAAATCAAATCAAATTCTTTCTTTTTTTTTTCTTTCTTTCTTTCTTTCTTTCTTTCTTTCTTTCTTTCTTTCTTTCTTTCTTTCTTTCTTTCTTTCTTAAATAACCCTCAGGATTGATATACCAGAAAACCCATCAAATCAAATCAAATTCTTTCTTTTTTTTTCTTTCTTTCTTTCTTTTTTTTCTTTCTTTCTTTCTTTCTTTTTTTCTTTCTTTCTTTCTTTCTTTCTTTCTTTCTTTCTTTCTTAAATAACCCACAGTGTTGATATGCCAGAAAACCCATCAAATCAAATCAAATTCTTTCTTTCTTTCTTTCTTTCTTTCTTTCTTTCTTTCTTTCTTTCTTTCTTTTTTCCTTAAATAACCCACAGTGTTGATATGCCAGAAAACCCATCAAATCAAATCAAATTCTTTCTTTTTTTTCTTTCTTTCTTTCTTTCTTTCTTTCTTTCTTTCTTTCTTTCTTTCTTTCTTAAATAACCCACAGGGTTGATATGCCAGAAAACCCATCAAATCAAATTCTTTCTTTATTTATTTATTTCTTTTCTTTTTTTCTTTCTTTCTTTCTTTCTTTCTTTCTTTCTTTCTTTCTTTCTTTCTTTCTTTCCAATACTGTTCTTTTTAAACTGATGTTTTCTACACATTTGGTTCAAAGAACAGCTGCTCAAAATAATCCTAAACCACAGGACGCCCGCCGCCATTCTTGTTTGTCAATTTACTTCACGTGATACGCCTAAATTTGGGCGAGTCTGCTGGAGTGGAGAGAGTAGGGATCAAAGAAAAGAAGAGCAAAAACTTTGGAAGAGGAGTGAGCCTGAGAAAAAAGGATGTGAAGCGGAAGCCGAATATTTAGGAAGGAAAATAAATGATGGGCGAAAGATTTCTGAGAAATTTAAAGGAAAAAAAAAACGGTTCAAAATTAGAAAGAAAGAAAGAAAGAAAGAAAGAAAGAAAGAAAGAAAGAAAATGAAAGAAAAAGATTAATGAATTGCTGAAAGGAGAAAGTAATATTCAAAAGGAAGGAAACGATAAGAGAAGAAGAATAGCAGAAAAAGGAGGAATAAGAAAATAATGAATATGATGAAAAGAAAGAAAGAAAGAAAGAAAAAAAGAAAGAAAGAAAGAAAGAAAGATGAATTGTTCAAAGTTTAAAAGGAAGGAAGGAAGGAAAGAAAGAAAGAAAGAAAATTTAAAAACAGAGTAGCAGAAAAAGGAGAAAAGTAAAGAATGAATAAAATCATAACATAAATAAAGAAAGAAAGAAAGAAAGAAAGAAAAAAGAAAGAAAGAAAGAAAGCAAGAAAGAAAGAAAGAAAAAAGAAAGAAAGAAAGAAAAAGATGAATGAATTGCTGAAAAAAGAAAGAATTTTCAAAAGGAAGGAAGGGAGGAAAGATAAGAGAAGTAGGGTAGCAGAAAAACGAGAAACAGGGATATAATGCATTCTGAGAAAGAAAGAAAGAAAGAAAGAAAGAAAGAAAGAAAGATCATTACAAATCAAATGGATATCGGATAAAAAAAAGAAGGAACGGCAAAAGGAAGAAATAAAGAATGAGAGTGGGTGGGGTGAGTGTGAGCTTTGAGAGTTGCTTTTTGATCAAGTGCGCTTGATTAGGAGTAAGCGTGACATTTTATAGGATAAACAACACGTCGTCATTGTCATCGTCGTCGTCCTCGCTGTCGTCAGGGTCCCCAAGCGAGTGTCATAGGGTTAAATATTTTGCACGGATGCGTGGGCGCGCGTGCGCATATTGATATGTGTCTTTGAGGCGGGAAAGAAAGAAAGAAAGAAAGAAAGAAAGAAAGAAAGAAAGAAAGAAAGAAAGAAAGAAAGAAAGAAAACAATGAGAATGAAATAAGTAAGGCAAATTAATGGAAAGATTTTTTAAAAAGTATTTGAAAGAAATAAGAAAACGAACAACTAAATAAATCAGTAGAAAGAAAGAAAGAAAGAAAGAAAGAAAGAAAGAAAAATATATAACATTAGAAAGAGAGAAAAAAGGAAATAATAGAAAGGAATAAAGAAAGCAAGACAAAAAAGAAAGGAGAATAAAAAAGTAAAAAAATAAGAGAAAAGTGAATGATTAAGAAAGAAAAATAATGGAAAGAAAAGAAGAAAAAGTGGAATAGTAAAAAGAAAGGGAGAAAGAGAGAAAAAAGAGAAATAATACAAAGAAGGGAAGAGAGTGAAAGAAAGAAAGAAAGAAAGAAAGAAAGAAAGAAAGAAAGAAAGAAAGAAAGAATATAATGAAGGCAAAAGAAATAAATAAAGAAAGAAAGAACGAAAGAATGAAAGAAAGAAAGAAAGAAAGAAAGAAAAGAAGATTCCTTTGGGGACAGCAGTCAACCGTGTAGTAGGGTAAAGACGAGGGACTCAAAATGGCTCTTGGCTGATTTGACACTTATCAAGTATTACTGAATGAAAACGTGGTGAGGGGGAAGGCGATTTGTCTTGTGGGTTTTGACTGTTTGGGGTAGGGTATTAGTTTGGTGGTGGTAAGTAGGTCGTGTTTTTTTTTTATTTTGTGTTTGTGTGTGTGTTTTTATTATTATTATTATTATTATTATTATTATTATACACGGGGAAAGTCACGCGATAGTTTCAAGCAACGTCCTCGGCTCTGCGTGACGTGTTTTTCGGAACAGTTTTCCCAAAACCTGATATGATTTCTTGTCTTCATCGTTGTCTCCGTTCCCGTTCCAGACGAAACGGTTTAGCGATGATGGTAGGAAGCTTAAGGAACGAGTGCTGGGGCAGGTAGACAAGGGCACTGGGCGTTGAATGCGTGCGTATATTTAGGTCAGGTAGGGAAGGAAAGATGGTAGGTGCCAATTGTGGTTAGCGTACGCTGTCTTCTTTACTGTTGTGGTTAGGATAAAAAGCTAGCAAAAAAACAATGGGAATGATGAAAGTAATCCTCAGAAATATATCTCTAAAAGTTGACTATGAAAGAAGAAGCAAATCGTTCGAATTTTCTTAAGACCTCAGTATTTATTCCTATTTCATCCAAAACATAATAGTGACAAAGGGAAAAAGAACTCAGAAAAAATAACGAAAAGATGAAAAAGAGTGGACATGAAAGGAGAGAAATAAGGAAAGACGGTTATATATATATATATATATATATATATATATATATATATATATATATATATATATATATAATATCAACTGATAATTTGAAGGAGGAGGACATTAATCCCAAGAGAGCTCAATGTAAGAAACTGAGCAATATAATAATAATAATAATAACAACAACAACAACAACAACAATAATAATAATAATAATAATACATTATTAAAAATCCATTCGGTCGGAAGAGATGAATATTTGAATATATTCATGAAATAAATTATAACCGATTGAATTTTTAAGGATCATCAAAACTTATTATTAACATATATATATATATATATATATATATATATATATATATATATATATATATATATATATGTGTGTGTGTGTGTGTGTGTGTGTTATAATAATATTTTTATTTAATAATTTTAAAAGTATTTTTTTAAATAAAACTATTATTATAATATTTCTCTGCGTTTTATCGAGCAATTTTAAAAAGAAATAAAAGCTAAAGAACTGTGATTCTTAAACTGTATGTTCTTTCTTTTTTTGTATATATATATATATATATATATATATATATATATATATATATATATATATATATATATATATATATATAAAATTCCTAAATCACATAATTTAAAATTAGGATTGTTTAATAATTATTTAGTCTGTAATAATAAATACATTCAGCTTTTTTGTGGATCAGTTTTAGTATTTTATCTTACTAGGATCCACTTGAATTATAAACCTATGGATTTGTTAACTTTACTATATATCTATATTTGAAAAATGGATTAAATCCAACAGATTTTTAAATTTATTTGTTTAAAGGTTATTTTTTAAACGGATACTCATATTTGAATAGATATTCGTGTAAAACGTCTGGCAGGATTCGAACCTGCGTCCCCTAGATTTCTCAAATATTCAAGTCGGGAGATGTAAATAAATAAATGTACTCTTTAATAAATAAATAAAACTTAGCATCTACTCAAATATGAGTATCCATTTAATAAATAACGTTGAAACAAATAAATTATATAGATAGATAGATAGATAGATAGATATCAGAGGTGAAAGAATGTTAACGGATCAGAGACAAGGAAAAGGAAGGATGAGAGAAGGATATTATATGAATAAAGGCTAAGGAATTAGAACTAAGAAGAAGAAAGGTAGAAAAGAAGGAAGAATGAAAAGACGGGCGGACCTTCCCGAAGCAAGGAAAGAAGGAAGGAAAGAATATATGTGAAAGAACGCTAAGAAATCAGAATTAAGAAAGAAAGAAAGAAAGAATCCTAAGGAATCAGAATTAAGGGAGGAAGAAAGACAGGAAGGAAGGAAGGAAGGAAGGAAGGAAGGAAGGAAGGAAGGAAGGAAGGAAGGAAGACAGAAAGAAAGAAGTTAAACTTATGAAAGAATGTTAAGAAATCAGAATTAAGAAAGAAAGAAAGAAAGAAAGAAAGAAAGAAAGAAAGAAAGAAAAAAAAAAGAAAGAAAGAAAGAATCCTAAGGAATCAGAATTAAGGGAGGAAGAAAGACAGGAAGGAAGGAAGGAAGGAAGGAAGGAAGGAAGGAAGGAAGGAAGGAAGACAGAAAGAAAGAAGTTAAACTTATGAAAGAATGTTAAGAAATCGGAATTAAGAAAGAAAGAAAGAAAGAAAGAAAGAAAGAAAGAAAGGAAGGAAGGAAGGAACTACATATGAAAGAATTCTAAGAAATCAGAATGAAGGAAGGAAGGAAGGAAGGAAGGAAGGAAGGAAGGAAGGAAGGAACTACATATGAATGAATGTTAAGAAATCAGAATTAAGAAGGGTGGGAGGGAAGAAAGAAAGAAAGAAAGAAAGAAAGAAAGAAAGAAAGAAAGAAAAAGAAAGAAAGAAAGAAAGAAAGAAAGACAGGAAGGGACGAATGAGGGAAGCAAAACTATATATGAAAGGAGGCTAATGGAATCAAACTTAAGGTAAAGGAAGGAAGGAAATATGATGCTTTAATGTGAAAGAATGAAAAAGAATCGCGATAAATGTAAAATTCTAGAAAATGGATGCTTCATTACACAACATCAAATATGTAATTAAAATCTCTTTACTGTTTGCCAGGAACTATTTTCTAGAATGGTTATTTTGCAAAAATAATATGTTCAAGCCCAGACGTTAGATTAGAAATAGCATTTGTTTATTTGTTTACTCGTAAATATTTAACATCTTGAATTAGATTACATTGAATATTTGAAAACTTCTAATACCAACCCGAAGAAATCATAACAGCTACGAACCACCGCCCATGCGCCTTTCGCATCAGATTTATTTCTACGAATACCTGCTTCGATTTATTGCTCTGCGCTTTCTATTTCACCTTGCTTTTCCATAAAACAGTTCCTCGTATGTGTTGCTAATTCTTTTCTCTCTTTATCTAAGATAAAAAAAAAATAATAAATAATAAGTTCCGGAGCACTACGATCGACCACTATCTGAAAGAAAATAGCACATATCCATTGCATTCACTTCCGTGCTAATATCCTTGGGAACGGTATGAATCCTCTTCTTCTAACCAGCCACCACCAAGCTATGGGTAAATAACAGGACAGACCGGGTTCTATAGCCTTGGATGGCAACTGGTCTACTGCAGAAAGAAATGGCAACCTACTGCGGGAAAAAAATCTGCCTCGTCAGTCATGTATGTTTCGATACATGATTGCTTAAGCGTGTATCACGCATGGCACATAACTGACTGAGACACAAGAAATAACCTTTGCTCCTTTACTCGTGTTTCCATCCCCCCGTTTCTCTTACCATCAATATGTCCTGTAAATGTTTAATTTTCTAGACCCTCTTTCCAACTTAGCTGATATGTCAGCCGAAGCGCGCCCTTATCAGTTAAGCCAGAAGAAGCCGTAATGAGAAGCAAAGACTCTGTTACCCACTTAAGGAATGTACAGCTCTCGTTGGGACTTTTTCGAATATAAAGATTTTATAAGCTTAGCTTAGACATAGCACAAGACAATATTGAGTACCAAGTGAGGATCGCATTCATTAATCTGTCGTAATTAAATCAGCAAGACAAGCTTGTTAACCATTACACCACGCCGAAGTGCTTAATCTTCTTCGAATATACATCTTCTAGCTATAGGAGTGGTTTCCTTGATGGAAAGGGGGAATACAGGTTTGGTTCATGACCAGAAAGTATTTTTTTCCTTAGTAGGACTTCTCTATATAGGTCGGTTGACATTAATTTCAATGTTTCAATGTTTAAGAAAATTCCCTTTCTTCCAAAGTGCTCAATGTAATAGAGAATATATATATATATATATATATATATATATATATATATATATATATATATATATTTCTGAGATTACATTATTCGGACTATTGTCCTCATCTTTGTCGCCATATTTATTACAACGTTTCGGCCGTTGTACGCTCCGGCCTTCTTCAGGTGGTTGGAATGTCAAACTGAGCCCTTTATTTCACTTACTGGAGTAGACTGTTCTAGTTCTACGTGCCATGTTTAATAGATGTCACTTATCAGTTATCTCCTGTTAATTTCCTTCTGAAAGTTCTCCATTGACTTAAATTAACAGGAGATAACTGATAATTGACATCTATTAAACATGGCATGTAGAACTAGAACAGTCTACCCCAGTGAGCAAAATAAAGGGTTCAGTCATTCCAACCATCTGAAGAAGGCCGGAGCGTACAAAGCACCATCATTCGACACCTCCATATGATTGGCCTTGTGAACAGACGCTGACGAGAATTTCCTCGTGAACTGACCAATGAGCAGGCTCAACAGCGTATGATCATTTGCAAATAACTTCTGGCAAATCCTCAAGATGTCCGTTTTGGGCGTCGAATTGTAACTGGGGATGAAAAATGGATCTATTTTCATAATCTTAATAAATCAGAAATCACTGGCTTCATATCGGCCAGGTTTCAGAAACTCTTGTCAAACAAAGGCGGTTTGAACAGATGGTGTGTGCGAAATTTCGAGGGCGTGTTGCATTTTGAGCTTCCCCAGATGGCCATGCTATGAACGCTCCGCTTTTATGCCCAACAACTGCAGCGATTATATGATGCTTTGAAAACAGCATTGGTCAATCGAAGATGCACACGTCTACAGTATGACAAATGCCCCAGCACCCACTGCCATTATGGCCAAGCGCAAAACTGAAGGGCTGAAAGTGCTGACTCAACCTGCCTACATTCTAGGACTTGCACCATTCAAGCCATGGCTCATTTCCTGCACGGGCAGAGGTTCAATACTGTGGTCGAAAATAGTTGTAGGATGATTTTTGCCTCAAAATCGAGCAAATGTTATGAACGAAGCTTTTGGCACAACGATGGCAGAATAATTTGGAATATATTTTGATCAGCAAACACTGGTTTAAAATATATATATATATATATATATATATATATATATATATATATATATATATATATATATATTATTTCAGGATCAACTTATTCAAGATGATCTTCGCCCTCTGTAACCTTCTAACTTTCTGTCCTGGAGTAACAAGGTGCCTCACAGGTTTCACGTACGATTTCATTTTCAAGTCTTTTTTCACTGCCCTTTGAACTGTCATAGCTGGAACTTCTCTCTCATATGCCAAACGTCTTATGGATTGAGTTAAACTTTTCTAATTGGTCTCTATGATGATCCCTCTTCCTGTTGTGACCTCTGGATCCAGTTTTCCTCACTACTGTTCCCTCTTTTTCAAACTTATTCACCGTTCTCTTGATGGTTCTAGAATGGACTTTGAAGGTGGAAGCCATATTATGAATGTTGGTACCATAACTGAATGATCTTTTTCCTCTCACCATTGCTCAGATGGGAAGACAGTGGGGTTGACACAAAACGATTTTAACCTGTTCTCTTTCTAGCTGAGTATTTTTAAGTGATTCTTCCGACAAATCAAGATGGCTAGCCGTCTTATCTAAAAACATGGGGAAAAAAGTAACTCAATTAGTTTAGTGTTTTTTAGATAAACATTTTGTGTGATGGAAAATTATACTGTTACACGATTTGCACAATCTTGCTGTTACACACACACACACACACACACACACACACATATATATATATATATATATATATATATATATAACAGTGAACATTGAAGTCAAGACTCAGAGGCGACAGGTTGTTTCATGCTAGACGCAATCGTCAGGCCGCGAATGCTGGATTTTTCCTCGATTATTTATATATATATAGGTCAGTGGTGCATTGTGGGTAATCTATTCTAGCGGTTATTTTCATGGGAGTGACTTGTTTATTTAATTATTTGTTTCGATTAATTCATTTTACTTGTTTTTCATATTAATTTTGTATAACTTATTCTTTTCCTTCTTTGATGTTTTATTAACGTAGTAAACCTATGAAACTATAATTCTTCATATATATATATATATATATATATATATATATATATATATATATATGTATATATATATATGTGTGTGTGTGTGTGTGTGTATCTATATGTACAGGGGCGAAGCAGAGAGAATGGACGTTTTTGAAAAATTTACATCCTTAATTTTAGCTTCAAAAAATTTTATTGAGTTCAATGTGTCTGTATTGAATTAGTATTTGACAAAATCAAATGTGGAAAACAGCATCTCTCATGTAGTGTCCGTTTTCATTGATGCTTTCTGAAGGCATTCTTGGAAGTTGGCCTCCACTCTTTCCAGCATTGCTCTGTCGATTTGGGCAACTTCAACGCGAATAGCTTCCTTCAAATCATCCGATGTATGGGGCTTATGCAATAACGACACTTCTGTTGATTCAACACGCCATTGAGATGAAAATTAGTTTCATCTCTCATTAACAAAATGGGATTGTCATTTACCTCGAAAACTGCTTTCATCTGATGTGCATTGTCCTCTGGTCTCAACTGTTGACCAGGGACCAATTTCTAGGGGAGGAAAAGTCGTTCTTCATGCAAAATACGAACGATTATCGGTTTGGGCGACTTCCACGCGAATAGCTTCCTTCAAATCGCCCCATGAATGTGCCCTGAGTTTTCCCCACAAGAAATAATCACACATAGACAAATCAGGGGACCTAGGGGCCAAGGAATGTCAGCAAACCTGGAAATGGGGTGGTCACCGTCGAGAGGGTGAAGAACGTCCATTCGTGGTCTGGCTGTGTGGTCGGTCGCCCCATCCTGCTGAAATCACGTATGTCGGATAGGAATACGTTTTCGTCGTAATTCAGGCACAAATAAGTTGTTTATCCTCTCGATGTAACGCCTGAAGTTCACAGTAACAACATTTTCTAATAAGTACCAATGATGCCATCTTTTCCAACAGTACACGAAACCTTCACTTTTAGGTTGTTCAATGATCTTTCGTGGAGTTATCTCAGATTTTCAAAAGCCCAATAACGACAATTCTTTTGATTCCGCATGCCATTGAGATGAAAATGAGCTTCATCACTCATTAACAAAATGAGTTTCTCATTTGACGGGTGAAGTTAAGTCGCTTTTTATAACCCCCCCTGGTCTCAACTGTTGCCCAGGGATCAATTTCTAGGGGAGGAAAAGTCGTTCTTCAGGCAAAACACGCCTGACTGAACGATTATCGATGCCAAGTTCAGTGGCCTGCCTCCGATCAGAGCGATTCGATCTGCGCAGCAAAGCTTGTCTGACGCGTTCCACATTTTCTGGGGTACCTACTGTTCGTAGATTCCCCCACCGGTCTGTGATTCATTAGTGTACCTCGTGAACGAAGCGTATGAAACCAACGTACGATTGTGTTACGAGTGGGAACAGCCTGATTTCGGTGAATCTTGAATTGGTGACGAAACTCACGCTGAACTGCCGTGACAGACTCGTTATTCTTCACTGTCGTAGGCGAACACGCGGTGTTCTATCGTCGACAGCGCCATGGCTTCAACAGAAAAGAAAAAAGTACTAAGACACCATATTTAAGTAAATGCTTTGTTTATAATAAACAGTATTAACAACATTTAATAAACAGTATTAACAGTGTTAACGGATATTTACTTAAATATTTGTATCTATAAAAAGAACGTATAAACATAAAAAATTTCTTAAATAATTGTCGGACTTTGTCCATTTCATAATGTATGACGTCATTTTTTTACATTTGGATATGCATTGAGCAGATATGAATGAATGAGAGAAAATCATGGAGAATTGTGTTTAAAAACAGTAAAATCGAACTTGCTAACCGAATGCTCCTCTCTGGCCCAATCGGCTAATGCACGTCAGGCTATATGACGGTTCTGTATAGGATACAGGTTCGATTCCTGTTAGAAGACGCATATTTTCTATGAAAATTTCTCGGACATTCAGGTCGGTAATTGTTGTTAATACTGTTTATTATATATATATATAGATGTGTGTGTATTTCTTATTATTATAAACATTATTTTAGTGTGTACAAGTATTTGAGTTCCTGTTTTTTTTTTTTTTTAATTTTATGAAAAAGCGAAATGAATAACAACCGGCTCAAATTGAGAAATCTTTCTAAAGACAAAATGTGCCTCAGACTGGAACCGAAACTAAATCCTTTTTTTTCCATCAGGGAAACGAGTTTTTAAGATAAAATCACCCGCTACCAGTTTGGCCACGAAGACCTGATAGAGCAAGTTTAGAATTACTCACCATTCGTTGTCTGTTATATTTAACAATATATATATATATAAGTAATTCATCGAGTCTGAAAGAAACCTCAACAGAATGCAGAAAGCACTGGACGGCCGTTTCGTCCTATATTTGGGACTCATCAGCAGTGCGCATCCACTACTGAGAATTGAAACCCCTGACAGTTGGGTTGTCGAAGAACATCATACCAACTGTTCCAAATGGGCCCTCGGTGACGAAGAGATTCCAAATCAGACTCAACATAGGTATGATGTTCGCATGACAACCTAACTGCCAGGGTTTCAATTCTCGGTAGTGGATGCGCACTGCTGATGAGTCCCAAATATAGGACGAAACGGCCGTCCAGTGCTTTCTGCATTCTGTTGAGGTTTCTATCAGACTGATGAATTACTTAAATATAATTATCAAATCCTCCTATCTATATATATATATATATATATATATATATATATATATATATATATATATATATATATATATATATATATATATATATATATATATATATATATTGTATATATATATATATATATATATATATATATGTGTGTGTGTGTGTGTGTGTGTGTGTGTGTGTGTGTGTGTGTGTATAATTGATAACAGAAGTCATTGGTTTATACCAACGGTTTCCCCATACTTAACACTTTGGTTTTCACTCTCGCGTGGTCATGTGTGATGTCATGGGCCGTGGTGTGATTTTCGCTTCCAGTAGCTCGTATGCACCAGTTTGTCGTAGCTTGGAAATCTTCCATGCAAACAAAACAGACTATCATTGTTGCTATGTCCGTGTATTGTTTAATTTATTGCAATGTACTTGTCATCGTTGATGATGGCTTATGTAACCCGAAAGCTTAGATAGGATTAAAAAACATGTATCAATATGTGATTTTCTTTCGTCTTTCAATGAAACACACACACACACACACACACACACACACATATATATATATATATATATATATATATATATATATATATATATATATATATATATATATTCAGACATGTCTTATTTAAAAAAATTAGACAAGCTTGTCTACTTATTTTTAACGGGATCCTCTCGTTAAAAGAAAATTACCATGTTGATACATATTCATTTTATTCCGAATAATTTCGATATTAGCAAAATTCTTGTGTTCACCGGAAAATTATATTTTTACGTGTGAAGTGAGAAATGCTAAGGTTATATACTGTACGATTTTAAATTTTAAATTTTATAATGCGGACACGTGTGCAAATGTCAAGGGAGGTAACTAAGTTATTGAAATGTCTAAATCTTTTTTTATTTTTTTTAGTATTTACAACTATTAGTAAAAACCCAGATATTTTAAACTATCTACTGTAAACATTTTAAAACATATGTGCAGTATTGCTAAATAATTTTATTAAGGGTTGGTTTAAATTTATAATATCGATAGCTTCAAGAATTTTTCGTTTATGTTTTGTTTTCATGAAAAGTATAAATTTATTTTAATAAGAATTTTTCTAAATTGTGAATGTGGACAAGCATACTGCTGTAAATAAATAAATATATATATATATATGTGTGGGTGTTTGTATGTGTGTGTGTTTACGAACTATATATATATATATATATATATATATATATATATATATATATATTTAAGAAGTGTTTAGCCTAGCTTGTCACAAGTACACAAATATAGAGTACTTAATGGGGGTCATGAGAGTAACAAGACTCTTGTTTACTCCCCCTCTCTCTCCTGCACACACATACCTATCTGTGTACGCATGAGTGTTACTCAGCATGTATCTGTGTGTGATTTAAGGTGGGCAAACCTGCACGTGTGTGGTCAAACATCCCAGAGGGTGGACACTGGTCAAATAGATAATTAATAATCGCCGGTTTGCAAGGAAGGTGATGGAAAAGAGCTACGGGCAAGTTTCCCTCCACACTGACCTCTCATATGATGAGGTTGGCATCCATCCAGCCACGTGTCTGCCGTCACTCCGTTAAGTCCCCCGGGCCATCCCATTAAAATATGCCCCAAGATGTATTTAAAAAGGCCCGCCTGTTGGTCTGACTTGGCCATAGGTTTTTTTTTTTTTTTTTTTTTCTTTATTATTTTTCTTTGATTTAAGCCTTTTTCTTTGCTGGGCAATGAAGCGTTTGCAAGACAATGTCGCCTACTTTTAGTGTGAAAGGTGAAAAATGCTTGTTCTTATTGGTCAATGGAAATCATCTGCCATATTTATAATTCTCATTCATTTATTTGTTATGAGCAAAACTCAAATATCTAGTGTCATGCATTTTTCGATCATTATTATTATTATTGTTTATATTATTATTATTATTGCTATCATTACTGTTGCTATTATTATTGATGTTATTATTATTGTTGTTTTGATTATTATTATTATTATTTGCTTTGATTTCTGGTGTATAGTCATTTCTTTCCCGGTCCCAACCAGAGACCTAAGTCCCAAAAATGGCATCATGGGATTTTCCACTGAGCATTTTTGAGCAATAAATAACCTAAGATCATACATATTTTACATAGATAAACGCCCTTCGTAAGTTGTGGGCTGTACTTGTGAGTAAAATTGTTTGTACTTCTTTAAGGCTTGGGCTACCAGAAATCCCTTCAATGTGTCTATGGGAACTTTTTCCGGTCAATCCGAGGGCTCCAACTTAATATTATTATTATATTTATTTAGTTATTATTTTTATTAGTGTACCCATGCCATCAAAAATGACGGTCATTGTTAGAAAGTTTTGATAGTGAGATGCAGTGAAACAAAAGTTTTGAAACGATGTATTGAGATTCAATAAAGCGAAAATCCAGTATTCACAGCTAAAAAAAAAAAAAAAGAGGCCAATAAATTGCTTAATTAATCCATTCCATTTCGATTTTTTTTTTTTTTTAGACTTTCAAATCTATCAATGATTCATTGATTACTCCTGGGATTATATAAATCGCTTTTTTGCTCAATATCCTTTCATGGTAAAAAAAAAACTCCATGTATTTAACAAAACAATGAAATGAAAATATCGTTTGGAAGAAAAATATTAGCAGCAGAACGACAAAGACGACGACGAAAAAGCCTATTTCAAAAACAAGTTGGAGCAAGATGATTACTTAATAGACTAAGGTATCTGAGTGTCTCACTTGAAGAAATAAGACTGCAATTTAAAAAAAAATAAAAAGGGAGGAGTAAAGGAACTGATTGATTAAAAAGTTCATTTTTTTCGGCAAGTAATTTTGTCTAAATGCAAAGGAATATTTTATTTGTATAGATTATTAAAACAACAAGGGAAATAAATCCCCAGAAATTTACTAACAAATTGATTTAGCTCTATTCTCACTATAGATGGGGCAGGACATTTATAAATATGTACACATTGGTAATTATTATATGGTTTGAGTGTTGTTATTATTATTATTATTATTATTATTATTTCCCCTTGTTTTCCTGATTTGCTGTTTGATACAATCCTTTTCTGTTGTATATACATTTCCTTCCGGGTCCTAACCAGAGACCCAAGGTAAGAAATGGCTTCATGACATTTTTTCAATTATCATTTTTGGAAAAATGTGTTGTTATTATTATTATTATTATTATTATTATTATTATTCCAAGTTTTCCTGATTTACATTTTTTATACAACATAATTATTTACCAAGACTTGTGGTAAAGGAAGGTTTTTCCACGAAAGTTATTGTGTATATTTATGACCACAGTCTTTTGTATCTCAACTAGTGAGGGGGTTTCCTGGGGTTTTCTTGTTGCATGTGCCAGTATTCTTTTTAATTATTCCTAGTGCTCGTATTATTATTGGAATCGCAAATAGCACAAAATAGTACTTTCCCCAATGATATTTAATGTGTCAATGAATTTAACGAACCCGACTGGAATTGAAACACGGCTCTCCGACAACACAACTATGTGCGCTACTCATTCTTCTTCTTTATGTGCTGTCCCCTCAGGACGTAGGCGATCGTTGCTCTTCACAACTTCCTGTCCCTTGTAGCTCTTAATAAACTTTGTCTTTCTCCTAAAACCTGTTCCGTCATCTATTTACTGAAGCTCACTCTGTCCCTCTTGCCCTCTCTCTGTCTCGTGAGTATCATATTCACCAAGCCCTCTTTCCTCATTATATGCTCTAGAAATCTCAACTGTCCTTTCCTGATGTTAAGTATTAGTATTCTTTTTGCTTCCATTTTCTCCAGAACTTTGTCGTTATCCACATGTTCGGCTCACGGTGTCCTCAGCATCCTTCTGTAGAACCACATTTCTCTTGCTTCAAGTCTCCTCTTCGTCTTTGCATCTTGTCGGTGTTAAATTTTCCGAAGCTTCTTTCCTCGTTATTTGGTCAAGTAATTCTGGCTCTTTCTTTTTGGTGGCAGATCTAAGTTTTCTTGTAGTTTCTGCTTCTCTTAAAACTCCCTCCTTCCATTCTCTGTCACGCCCGACCTCGTCAGTACGAAACAATACACATGCAACGCCCTGGTTAACATCGCTTTAACTAATACCCTATCACTGCACTGTAGAATTAAACAGAGTTAATCAATTAACAAAGAAGTGGAACAACAATTAGTTAACACCTGTATAATTAGCATAGTTTGAAAAAGATTAAAACAATTAAGGAAACGATTTTGTTTTCTTATCTATTGTCACGGTTATGCACTTACTGCGTGTTCAAAGCATTAGTGCGACTGCAGACTGTGGAGGTGTTAAGTGACAGCAAGTCGACGAAGTATTCGTTCTTTTATTGTCCTTTTTTAACTCACCGTCATGTTCACCATTCTAAGCCTTTCTAAGTTTTGACATTTTTTCTACCTTCTTTCCAGTTCTTTTTCATAATTATACACCTTTGGGCAAATTAAGTGAAAAAACCGTTTTACTTTCATTTCCTTCATCCCACGGTCAATTTTAGACCTACCAGAGTGACAGGCTGTAATCGATATCTATTTTTTCTCAGATTAGGTCATTTGCAGTGGTGCGCAGTAATATGAATCTATTTTCGGGGTGTTTGATGAAATTTTTTTGGCCTTGAAAAACATTGCGTCATACGTGATTGCATCGGATTTATTCATCACACCCAGACACTATTTTCTCGACTGTCGATTAGTTGTCCTATGACCATTGACTGCGATGGACGTTATTCCAAGGAAGCGTACGAAAACTGTAACGGTGCACGAACACACTGACAAGCCTTACCATTGAGCTATAGCCTACCATTGAGCTATAGCCTATAGCCTGCCCCAGAAACTCTTCTGATTTAAATCCAATCGAGAGCCTGGAATGCACATACAAAGTACTAACATGTGCACTGGGTCATTTTTAATTGGAAAAATATGGAAAAAATTAAATAATAACGGAATTATTCGTTTTGTTTCAATTAATTTGCACAAGGATGTATACCGAATACATTCTTAACATGATTAACTTAAGGACATTAATCCGGTGTATGCCAATAACAATTCATCAAATAAAGATGATGTCAAAATAAATTTATAATAAAGAAAATAAAGCTGAATTTTAATTTAGTTAATTTTTGTCGTCTTTTGGGAGATTTATATTGTCTAAAACAGGGACCCAAAACTTTTTAGAACATCGACCCCTTAATGAATACTTCACTGATTCACAGTTATGTTCGAACTGTTGTCTTCATCTTGGTCACCCAGTGGAATGGACATGCAAAGTACTAACGTATGCACTGGGTCAGGTTTCATTAGGGAAATACGAAAAATATATAAATAATAACGGAATTATTTGTTTTGTTTCAATTACTTTACACAAGGGTGTAACTTTTATCAACCATAATCAATCAGGATTTCTCTCCCTTTCTTTTTCATTTCCTTCATTTTTCCACCTGTTAATATTTGTCCATTTATTCAAATTTTACTTTGCTACCTTCATTTTTTTCCTTCCTTCCATCTTTCATTCCTTCTAATTTACTTTAACCTCCCACCAATACTTATCCGTCTTCATCAACCTTCTGTCTTGCATTATTTCTTTTTTTTTTCCTTCTGATCTATTATTTTTATTCTTCCCGCCATTAATATTGTTTTCCTTATTCAATCTTTACTTTTTATTTCCTCTCTTCATTCTTTCCGCCTTTCTTAACGTCTTTCCTTCTGAATTTCTTTTATCTCCCACCAGTAATTCTTATTCGCTTTTTTCACTATTTCCTTCCTTTCTTCATCACTTCCTTCCTTCCTTCCTTCCTTCCTTCCTTCCTTCCTTCCTTCATTCATTCATTCCGTTTGAATATATTTAATTCTCTACCCGGCAATTAAATTTTACAATCTTATCCTTCCTGAATTTCTTTCATTCTTTATTTCTTTCTTCAGTGTCAGTTCTCATTCGCTTTTTCAAATCACATCCTTTTTGTTTTCTTTCTTCCGTCAAAGCAATTCTTATTCAACTTTTTGATATGCATTTTCCTTCTTTCTTTCATTTTTCATTCTTAATATTATTTATTTCCCCCGTCACTGATTCTTCCCGCCCTTTTTCAATCTCTACTTTTCTTCTTTCTTAACGTTTTTCTTTTCCCTCCCTTTCCCATTTCTTTCCTCCTGCCCACATCCAGACCGATTCTTATTCGCTTTTTCATTCTTCCTTCCTAATTTCTTTCATTCCTCCACCTATTCTCATTCGCTTTTTCCTTCTCTTCATTTACTTAATTCATTCCTTTCTTTCTTCCTTTCTCATTTCTTTAATTCTCTCGCGTTTTTCTCGTTTTACTTTTTGTTGTTTCTTCCTTCTTCCGCTTCTTTCTTTTTTATTTCTTCTTTTCTTCCTTTCTTGCGTTTCTTTCTTTGGTTCTTTCTTTCTTTCTTTCGATTCTTTCTTTCTTTCGATTCTTTCTTTATTACGTTTCTATCTTTCTTTCTTTTGCTTCTTCCTTTCTATATTTATTTCATGCTTCCCTTTCTATCTATCTATCTTTCTTTGTTTATTCTCTTTCTTTCTTTCGTTTCTATCTTTCTTTCTTTTTTCTTTCTTTCTTTATTTCTTTCTTACTTTCTTTTTTCTTTCTTTCGTTTCTTTCTTTCATCCGTTTCTTTCTTTCTTTCTTCTTTCCAATTCTTTCTTTCTATCTTTCTTTCGTTTCTTTCTTTCTTTCTTTCTTTCTTTCTTTCTTTCTTTTATCGATCTTAAGTTTTTCTTCCTATTTTTACTATTTCTTCCAGCTTCTTTCTTTTTATGTTTTTGCTTTATTTCCTCTAAATCCTCCCTGCCAATTCTTAAATTCTTTTTCTCGTTCTCTGTCATTTTTTTTTCTTTCAACTCTTCATTAAATGTTTCATTCCGCTGAATCTTATTCTTGGTTTACAATCTCTTCTTTTTATTTCCTTCCTTGCTTCCTCCTTTCCTTCCTTCCTTCCTTTCCTTCCTTCCTTCCTTCCTTCCTTCCTTCCTTCCTTCCTTCCTTGTTATATTTTTTATCTCCACTGCCGACAATACCTATTCACTTTTATAATCTTTACTTATCTTTCGTTCCTAAATTTTCTATTATTGTTTCCACAAATCCTCTTTTCGTCTTCCAAATTTTTCCACTCCCTGCCCACGCTCGGCACCCGCGTGAGCTCTAATTAAAAAGAGATCCCAAATTATTAGGTTTAGTTAGTTCAGTACTTAAAAATCCCGACCCACATTCACTCACGCCCATCTGTAGCTCCCAGAGTCGCACGTGCCAACGCTTAGGTATTATCATCTTAACGACGCACCAAAAACAACCGACATTAGGACTCTCTACCTCGATTCTTATTTTACTCTTTCTTATATCGAATGGATCAAGTGAACTCCAAATGTTGACCTGTCGCAAAAATTTGAATTTGAATTCAAGCCTCGATTTGGATTTTTTACACTGATGAATCGTGTCGGAAGAAAATTCAAGATTAACGTCGCTTTTTTTTCCTCTTTTTCTCTTTATTCTTCTTTCGGATTCTTTTTCTTCTTCTCTTTTTTTTCTATACTCTTTCTCTTTTCTCCCTACATGGTAAACACCCAAGCACCAGTACACGAACAAACATACATACATACATACATACATATATGCATCGATGCATACAAGCACACGCATTACACACACAAACACACCAGCGGACAAACATACATGTATGCACACGCACACACACATACCTACTCACACACGCACACACACATACCTCCTCACACACACACACACACACATATATATATATATATATATATATATAATTTAGGGTGTGTCAGGTGAACAGAATTTTGTCAATATGGAAATAAAACGATAACTAGAGCAATAAAAAACTGTTCAAATGTTTTATAATTCCGAGCGCATTCGGCTTTAGTCATTATCAAGGATGGTTCGATTTTTCAGCTTAATTGACTCTGTGCATTGTGTGTATGTTTTAGTGTGTAATAAAAAAGAAAGAAGCCAACTCTTAACAATATTAACTACGAACAAGACCACAATGTGCCAACCATATTCGGAAATTAAAACACTACACACTAAAACATACACATCATGCACATACTCAATTAAGCTGAAAAATCGAACAGGGACAGGCATCTCTTCAGTATAATTTTCCTCAGTTGCCCCTCTGTCCTTTGACAGAGAAGCCCCTGAGCGCACTCTGTCCAAGGGCAGAGACGCAACTGAGAGATGATAAATAATACGTACAAATTACTTATAGTAATTTATACGCTCACAGCTCAATATCTGCATTATATATTATCTACTTCTAGGTGATATCACTTTTCAGGTTTAATTAATTTGAATATGGATTTAAAAAAGTATATTTCATTAATTATATAGTGCAGAAAAATGTTTGAAATTTGCATTTTATTTGGTCTTCAACAAGTTGTCATCAATTTGTAAAATTTTCCTTAACTATAAAAAGCCAATTTATGAATGAAATGTTCATTCAAAATTTTTGTTACAAATATTTCAAGTTGTGAATATATCTTACTTTGCGAAGCAATAGCGAAGCCTGCAATCCTCTATGAAAAACAAATTCAAAAAACGCTTACAAATTCTTGAAGCCATCATAATTAAAAACCAAAATCCCAACATAAATAAAATAGCATTTAATACTGTCAGAAATATCTTAAACATATTAATAACTAATCCTTCAAATAATAAATACCAACCCCCTCCTAATTACTGATGAACTCATCCAACAACACTGTCTAGATACCTAAAATATTATCTATGAAATGAAATAAAAAGCAACTTATTTCAAATCAAAATATACAGCCATGATGAGGGTTGACAACAACCGAAAGCGCTTGACAAAACACTATGGACTAGGTTCTGTTTTCAACACCTTGGACCCAATTATAAAAAAAAAAAAAAACTTGCGAAAAATCAAGAAAAACAGTAAAAAGGTTATTAAACGGAAAAATTTCGTAGTCTTTAACAACACATGTCTTTATATATATATATATATATATATATATATATATCATAAATACCAATCTTTTCTGCTACCGTGGTTTCCACGCTTGTTTCTAAAAACAGTTTATCTATCTATCTATCTATCTATCTATCTATATATATATATATATATATATATATATATATATATATATATCGGACAAATGAAGTCATAGTTGACAATTGCGCGGATAGTAGGATCTAACTGGATACTCCCAAGTGTGTGGTTCCTATTGAGGATCGAACTCAGTCAGTTCACTAACAACAGCTTCAGTAATCATAGTATACAGTATGAGCTTGTTATTAAGGAAGTTGTCGAGGACCATAAATGTGCACACCCTTGCCTATAAAAGAAGAGAGAACTTTTCCTCCACGGCTGAGCGACGCACTTATATTTTATTTTTACTCATCTTGGCACAAGGCCATTGGGGGATTCTCCTCGTCTTATTTAGTTAACAGCGGTTAAGTGAAATCGCGTAAGGCGGACTGCAGAGAATGAGGTACTCACGTTTGCCGTGGATAGTGAGGTATTTATGTATATATATGCAATAACAGCGACAGAGAAAATTACATTTACGCATGCAAGTGCGGTATCTTTGCAAAAGGGAGAGTAAGAAAAGCCAGAATTTTTTTTTTTGTATTAAATCTTGAGGGCAAGGGAGAATCGAGGGTCGGGGATGATTACTGGACAACCGCTTTTTTTTTTCTTGTTATTCACCACGTGGTTCCAGCAAATTCCCTCCCCTCTCCCTAATGTTTTCTTTCTTTCTTTCTTTCTTTCTTTCTTTCTTTCTTTCTTCCTTTCTTTCTTTCTTCCATCATTGATTTCCCCTTTGGAAAAGCATAAATTCTTTCACAGAATGGAATTCCATTCGGAAATCTACATTTGGTGAGAAAAAGATGGTGGTCTTCTCTTTCAGAGTTGAAAACTATATAAACAGAGTGTCTGGAGGACACCGGGGCCGATGCGGGTGGGATAAAGGTCATGGAGGATGATGGGGATGGGCACACCCTGTGTAACCTCATGGGCAGGAACCAGCACAACAGAAATCTCATTTTATTCATATGTGCGCGTCACGCACACATGCTGATACACACACAGAGTAATACACATGGTCACACCCAGACAGACAGAGAGAGAAAGGCCCACAGAGAAAGAAAAACATATACACACCAGACACACACATATACATAGGTAATGTCTATTTAAACAGCAATTCTTCATTGATACAGGTTTCATTAAAAACGGCAAACAAGATATGTTTGTTTTATTTACCGTTTCTTGTTTCCCTACAAGAGTGTGTGTTCGTATCCAGTATTGTCCGAATGTTACTGATCGATCATTTTCAATCAGGATTCGCATCATAAATAAAAACACCACTGGCGAATTGCACTACGTATGATGGACCATACATGCGTACGACATGCAACCACTACCCACTCCCGCTGGTTAATCTACCACTTCGGAGGCCACAATGCAGTCCGCACCCCTATCAATAAACCTATTTTAAGGCAATAAGGTCTTCAACAACATATGACAAATATTCGCGTCAACAGATATATTTTAGATAATATTAACTATAAAAAAAGACTCCAGATATTAAACGCCCTAAAAATAAAATTAAATTAAAAATTTAAAAAAAATTGTTTGGAACTGGAATTTTTAAATTAATTTAAAAAGCTGACGCTAGTTTAGCTAATGATAAACTTAGCCAGATAATCTGCGACACCACCATAAAATAAAATAAAATAGAAAGACCACACTGAGTTTTTTTTAAATATCCTAACGAGGGAAGGACGACTCGTCTCCATAACCACAAAACGGGAAAACAATTACAAGTACAAATGAAAGCACTAGATCACAGACATTCGAAAAATATCTATGCTCATTAGATCCAAAGAAAATTTTTTTTAAAATCGTTATCACCTCATGAAAGGCAATAAAGCCACTAAGACACAAGAGGCTATAGGATGTGGATGAATTAGGAATAGAAACATTATTAATGAATAGGAAGAAGAAAGTAATCAGGAGAACAGGAGATAGCAATTGACATTGCATTTAAATTTTGGCAGATTAAAGTTGACTTGAAAACATGGAACCGGAAGAAAGTTTCCCAAACGATTACAAATGAGAAAAAAAAAGCATGGATATTTTTAAGAAATTAACGGATTTTCTTTCTTAATCCACCATTAATATTATTTCTTTAAACGTGACATTTTAGTGTGTACACATGTTTGAATTAAGAGCCTGGAATACACATGCTAAATTCATACTTCTGTATTGTTTAAATATATATATACTAGCAGCATGGCCCGGCGTTGCCCGTGCTTGATTCAAAAATCGTACGACTCATACAGCAATCGCTATCACTTGACTTAAAATATTTTTGCCCTTCCTTGCCTTTAAAGAAGTTCCCTTTGCCGTGCTGATGTTGCTACATGCCTTACTTCTTGCCTATCTCACACTGCGAATATTTTCTAAGCTCTATACTAAACATTAAATATGTTACGAAAAAAGAACTAAACAAAATGAACACAAAACGATCAGCTTTAAAAAAAAAAAAAGGACTCGTAACAGGAAAAACCGAATTTCACACCCAACCCAGTTCTGCGGAATCAGAATCAACGTTGAGTTTAAGCAAGCCAATGAGCCAATTGAAGTAAGGTGCCATGCAGATTTAAATTTTTCCCACTTGTGACGAACGCAGCTATCGATTTTTTTGCATGATAGCATGTTAGTTAACATTCGTGTCAGTCAGCTGTTGGCTCTCACGCTGGCCAATAGAATCTTCCTGCCTATTCGTGGCAGCCAGCTATTGGTTCTCTCTCTGGCCAGTACAAAATGGCCGCAAACTACATGAAAGCTGTCGTAGAAGCATGAAAAAGTCGATTATTTCCACTATCGATGGGAGTTGGGAAATGCAAAGTCAGTCTTGGCCTTCCCACAAACTTGGAGCATGTGCATGTAAATTTTGGTGCAAATCCGTCGAAAATTGCGGCCGTGCATTCCTTACACACACACACACACACACACACATATCCTGCCTTTTATAGATAGAGATTATATATATACATATACTTATTATATATATATTATTTAAACTTATATTGTTAAATATAACAGACAATGAACGTCTAATATATTTGGTAATGAACTGTTCTAAAATTATTATGGTTGCTTTAATTTCGGGTGAAAATAAAGTCAAAAATTGTCACAACAAAAAAAACACACAAACACAGACAGAAAAAAGAATCTTCAAATATTGGAGGCCATCTACATTAAAACAAAGCACTCAACAAAATTATATTTCAAACTAGTCACAACACATTACATTGCATCTAGACATTGATTCTGTTGTTAATATTTTAGCTTCTCGCGTGGTATGACGTCATAGAACCGCATCATGAATTTACGATCTGCGTCTACTATTCGACGACCGTTATCGTCGCATAGCAATCTTCTATGTCAACATAACAGAATATCTTCTTTGATGGTGAATATCTTTGTTTAAATGTCCGTATAACCATTTTTAGATCAAGGACCAGCTTAATAGAAACAATTCAAATGTTGAACAATTTTAGTCTTTTTATCTATTTTCGCTCGAAATTAATTGCAATTATACGAAGCTTAGAACGGCTCATGATCAAATAATAATAGACATTCGTTGTCTGTTATATTTATCCATATATGTTTGAATATATATATATATATATATATATGAAGAAAAACTTTGGAAAAAACAAACAAAAATCCTTAAATGCAATTGTGTTGTTTAAAATGAATGAAATGACGACGTCTGACGTTTCGGTTTAATAAACCTTTTTCAAGACAATATTCATTACAATTCAGTTCAATTTAACAAAGACGATGGACATAAAAAACACAGGTCTTATCCAAAACAGATAACTGAAAATTTTAAAATGATCATCTTTCCGTTTAACGTGGTCACGTTGTCGTCACATGGGCGACGCTTTCAAAACGTATTCCTAAAATTTGTGATTATTTTGAAATGAAAAAAAAAATGAAAAGAATTCTATTAGGATCTAAAATTTTATGTGTATGCTTGTCGAGCATTAATCTTGCTAAAAAGGGGAAATATTAAAGAAACCAGGTCTAGTATTCACCGTGCGTGAGATGGATATTATATCTGCTTCATAAATCCCCTGAGATTTTTATTATGAAAATATTTTAATACCTTCACGGAATCGAAATCGAATTATGATCTGCTTTAGTCGTGTACAACTAAAGCATTTTTAAAATTTCCGAGGCGAATATCTCGTTTATGTTCGAAAACACGAGATTTTACGGACCTACCTGTTTCACCCACATATTTTAGGTCACAGTTTTTGCATGATATTTGATAGATGCAAGCATCGGATGTAATATGTTGTCTGCTGGTGCTATTTAATAAACTACGGATAGTCCTAGTAGGTAATATAGTAGTTCTAATTTTAATGCATTTAGATTATGAGAGATACGTTCGGTCAAATGGTTATTTGGTAAAAGATGCGACCAAACGAAATATTATCAGAGGCAACTGAAATTGTATCTTTCATTGATGTAGTTGTAGTGGCCTTCGAGGTGTCATTTTGCGCTGATGAGTGAATTTTCAACGCTTTATTTTTAGTTTTCTGTAATAATTGTCTCGGATACGAAAGATTTGAAAAGGTATCTCAATATATGTGAATTCATCATTTAAATATTTTGATGAACAGATGCGAAGAGCCCTTAAATAGAATCCAATAACAATACCCTCTTAGTGTTAGTATTATGGTGAGAGTAAAAATGTAAATAGTCATTTTTACATGTAGGTTTACGATATACTTTGAATTCTAATTTATTTTTATTTTTAATGAGTAGTATGTCTAAAAAAAGGTAAAGAATTATTAGATTCAAGTTCATAGGTAAATTCTATAGTAGGTTCTATTCTATTTAATCTATCAGTAATATTGTTTAAATCATGCTTATGGGGTGAGATAAATAAAAATGTCATCGATGTATCGAAAGTAATGTATCAGGTGGAATGACATCTTTAAAAGGTCCAGATTCAAGAAATTTAGAAATATGCATGCTAGGAATCCAGAGAGAGGACTCCCATCGGTAAACCAAATTTTTGTTTATAATAAATATTATTATATTGAAGAAACAATGTGAAGTGCAAAGGATGCATAATTTGACGCATTTCGAAATAGAGATAGGTAGCTTAAAAGTCAATTTTCTTAAGGTGGTTCTCTAATTGTTTAATGCATTTATCAACAGGTATATTAGTATATAAAGATTTGATGTCTAAGCTAGCTAGTGATTTGTTATCTATATCAATATTTCTCAACTTATTTAGAAGAGAGCCTGAATTTTTTATATGTGCGTTACTTACGGTGCCCAGAATTGAGTTAGAAATTTAGTTAAATACCTAGCAATATTATGAGGAGCTGAGCCTATACCTGAGATGATGGGCCTTAATGGAATGTTAGGCTTATGGGTTTTGGGGAGGCCATAAATTTTAGGGACGGTCGGGTGGTAGTTAATAAGGGAAAGCCAAATCTTATCTTCATTACATATGAGTTTTTATAGGACCTACTAAATTCTTTTTAGATTCTTAGAAATTTGTATAGAGGTGATCTGTTCATAAGTGTCTCTGTCATTAAGCAAGTCCAACATTTTCTGGTTGTAAGCAATGGTATCCATGACAACAACACCGCAATATTCATATTCATTACAATTACTAGACCTGGTTTCTTTAATATTTCCCCTTTTTTAGCAAGATTAATGCTCGACAAGCATACACATAAAAATTTTAGATCACCCCGAAATGCGTCAAATTATGCATCCTTTGCACTTCACATTGTTTCTTCCAATATAATAATATTTATTATAAACAAAAATTTGGTTTACCGATGGGGAGTCCTCTCTCTGGATTCCTAGCATGCATATTTCTAGAATTTCTTGAATCTGGACCTTTTAAAGATGTCATTCCACCTGATACACATTACTTTCGATACATCGATGACATTTTATTTATCTCACCCACATAAGCATGATTTAAACAATATTACTGATAGATTAAATAGAATAGAACCTACTATAGAATTTACCTATGAACTTGAATCTAATAATTCTTTACCTTTTTAGACATACTACCATTAAAAATAAAAATAAATTAGAATTCAAAGTATATCGTAAACCCACATGTAAAAATGACTATTTACATTTTTACTCTCACCATGATACTAACACTAAGAGGGGTATTGTTATTGATTCTATTTAAGGGCTCTTTCGCATCTGTTCATCAAAATATTTAAATGATGAATTCACATATATTGAGGATACCTTTTCAAATCTTTCGTATCCAAGACAATTATTACAGAGAGCTAAAAATAAAGCGTTGAAAATTCACTCATCAGCGCAAAATGACACCTCAAAGGCCACTACAACTACATCAATGAAAGATACAATTTCAGTTGCCTCTGATAATATTTCGTTTGGTCGCATCTTTTTACCAAATAACCATTTGACCGAACGTATCTCTCATAATCTAAATGCATTAAAAATTAGAACTACTATATTACCTACTAGGACTATCCGTAGTTTATTAAATAGCACCAGCAGACAACATATTACATCCGATGCTTGCATCTATCAAATATCATGCAAAAACTGTGACCTAAAATATGTGGGTGAAACAGGTAGGTCCGTAAAATCTCGTGTTTTCGAACATAAACGAGATATTCGCCTCGGAAATTTTAACAATGCTTTAGTTGTACACACAACTAAAGCAGATCATAATTTCGATTTCGATTCCGTGAAGGTATTAAAATATTTTCATAATAAAAATCTCAGGGGGATTTAGGAAGCAGATATAATATCCATCTCACGCACGGTGAATACTAGACCTGGTTTCTTTAATATTTCCCCTTTTTTAGCAAGATTGATGCTCGACAAGCATACACATAAAAATTTTAGATCCTAATAGAATTCTTTTCATTTTCTTTTGCATTTCAAAATAATCACAAATTTTTAGGAATACGTTTTGAAAGCGTCGCCCATGTGACGACAACGTGACCACGTTAAACGGAAAGCTGATCATTTTAAAAATTTTCAGTTATCTGTTTTGGATAAGACCTGTGTTTTTTTTATGTCCATCGTCTTTGTTAAATTGAACTGAATTGTAATGAATATTGTCTTGAAAAAGGTTTATTAAACCGAAACGTCAGACGTCGACATTTCATTCATTTTAAACAACACAATTGCATTTAAGGATTTTTGTTTGTTTTTTCCAAAGTTTTTCTTCATTCTGTCGGATTTATATCCATTTACATTTGCTTACACATATATATATATATATATATTGCTTATATATAAACTGTAAATTTTAATTAAAATAAGTTTTGTTAAAGACTTCAGAGAAATTATATTATTTATAATGACATTTTTCTTTGTTGCTGGATTAGTTTCTGCATCTTGATATTCAAGGTGAAAAGAAATTCTCTACAATTCGTGAAAGTTCTTGTTTAAGAGCCTTTGACTGGATTCCGATATTATTTGGAAGGAACGAAATTGAATTTAAAGTCATTGTAGTAGTTTTCATCGGTGGATTTTAATCTGCAATCTGTTCTGCCAATAGAACACATTTACCATTTACTTCTTTAGATTGCTTATTGTCTTCCAAAGTGTTTTATGAAAGGCTGATAAACCGTAAAAACATATCAATCAATTAAACCCAAATGTTTATGGACTTTCTTTCAAAATATATTCCTCTCGTCATCGACGTTCATAATTACGTCGATTAAATGCATTTCATCAATGCCATTGGCATTCATACACCTTCAGAGCAATGATGGTTTCACTGTTGATGGTTTCACTGTTGAGACCAAACACTTTTCCATGTACACCCCTCACCATGACGCCGTCGCCATCTGATCGTGTACCATCAGACACAAATAGCTTAATTTTTGTTTCATCTGTGAATGGTACGCTGTTTTGAATCGTTGAAATTGTATCCTTATCATCGGAGGCAGATTTCAAATAAGCCTTTTCGTATCTCGATCCCAGCTGCAGCGCTCTTCGACAACCGCCGGCCCCCATATAAGGTGGCCTTGTTCAAGCTACTCTGATCGGTGTCAAGGCACCTATTTTATTTCTTTGACATCATTAGCGACATTTGAAGCCGATTTCCTCAGCTCTTCAAACAAACTCTTGATAAAAACGAATTTGGTTTCAGCTTGCATTCATCAACCATGTCCTTTCTATACATCTGTGATATGCTCAAGTTTATTGTGATTTGAAAGCATTTTGGGAACAGACTTTTAGCCCAGCTTCAGGATTTAGCTATTTTTGTAGCCATTGTTATATTTTGGGGAAAAATTAATACGTTCTTACAATGTTCTGTATCATTTAGACCATTACTGTAGAGAAGACTGTGAATTTATCAGAACAGTTTTAACGTGACCCACAGGATTGACAGCGTGTAATCTATTTCTATTTTTTCCTGAGATTAGGTCATTTGCATTGGTGTGCAGTAATATGAATCTATTTTCGGAGTGTATGATGAAATTTGTTTGGCATTGAAAAATATTGCGTCATCCATGATTGCATCAGACTTTTTCATCACCCCCCTCAGACACTAATGTTTCGACTGTCGATTAGTTACGGCTGTTGTGTGCGATGGACGTTATTCCAAGGAAGCGTACGAAAATTGTAACGTGACACGAACGCACTAGCAAGATTTACCAATAATTTTTTCGGTTTTAGTTCATTTCATAGTTTGTGACACATATATATATATATATATATATATATATATATATATATATATATATATATATATATATATATATATATATATATATATATATATATATATATAAAACGTTACAAACTGTGAAATGGATTAAGGCCGATAATTATTTTAATATATTTTATTGTTATACGTTAATTATATAGACACAAATATTTAAGTAAATTCTCTGTTTATATCTGGTATAGCACGTCAAGCTATATGACGGTTCTGTGTAGGATGCCGGATCGATTCCTGTCGGAGGACGCATGTTTTCTATGACATTTATCGGACGTTCAAGTCGGTAAATGTTGTTAATACTGTTCATTATAAACAGAGCATTTACTTAAATATTTGTGTCTATATAAATAACCTATAAAATACACACATAATAATTATATATATATATATATATATATATATATATACACATATATATATATATATATATGGACACACCTGTCGTTTTTCGACATGTGAGAGTTCAGCAGCTAAATTCTTAGAATCGAACAGCCAGGCTACACGCAGATATCATTTGATTATGGTGTTGAAGGCTTGTGCAGAACCAACCACCCACATTTTAGAAGATCTGAATACAGAGAATTTGGCCATAAAGAAAGAACAGTAAGATATATAAAAGAAAGAACAGTAAGATATATAATCCGGTGTTCTTATAGGTATTTTTATTTTTACAAAATAGTGCTCGATGTAAATTTACAGAGCATTAATATCATAAATTAATTGATTTAAAATATGTTTTTTTCCGCTACACAGTTCTAACCATGTTTCAAAAATGGAAGCTACTGCAGAGAGTGAGAGAGAGAAACAGATAGACAGCGACAGAGGTGGGGGAGAGAAATAGAGATTACTGATTTTGGCATTGTTTTGAACACTGGGGTTATTTGATGTCCAGTATGTCTCACAGGAAATAAAAAGACAATGAATCGTCAATAATAGATATAGGTTCGGTTTTGCACTGGAATAATTTCGCTAATAATAGGTCTGTTTTATAGGAAAAAACTGCGAGTCTCCGTACGGAAGGTGGCCTCTCTTTGAGGAGGTGGCATACCATTCTGCAGATGATGCAGGCTGTGTATTCTAACAAGGGATAGATAGATAGATAGATAGATAGATAGATAGATAGATAGATAGATAGATAGATAGATGCCATACATCCACCCAATCTCATTACTCATTAAGTATGTTACTCGATGTTTGCTTCCGTCTCCTTTTCTGTTTCATGTGAGTGTTAAATTCTCTATGCCTTCTTTCCTTCAAACCCTGGTGTCCTCATTATCCTCCTACAGAGAGACATATCAGTCTCTTTGAGTCTCTTCATCTGTAAAGAAATTGTTCAGCATTTACTGTTATACAAGTTGATTGAGATTACATTAATATTGTCGTTGATTTTTTTTCTAACGGAATTATGCCTTAATTCTTTGCTTAATTTCCTAAAGAGATCTTTAATCCTATGAGCCTCCGAATTTATTTTTGTCGTCTGTTACTACACTACCCAGATAATTAAATTTCCGTATCTGCTTTTGGCGTATCCAATTCGTACCTCACATCTTGTGGCGTCTGTCTTGCTAACGACCCAACATTCTATCTCCTTGTAGTAAATGTTTAGTCCTTTCCTCTCGCTTACGTTGCAAACAGGTCTAGAACAATTTCCCTTCTGAGTCCGCCATCAGTAAAGTGTCATTTTTGTATCTTAAGATTACGGATTGTAATGGTTAGATAATAACTGTGATACGTGATAGCATTCGGTCTGTCGTTACCATTTTTATTATTAATCTTCATTATCATTGTTGAGATTGGTGTAATTGTTTCTGGGCGTTTGCTTTTCCAATTAAAACTATTGAAAAAAATTCACCTTGTTTCCAATGTGGAATATTAATCACCGGACTAGTTTACCATCCAAAAATATCGGGCGTGTTTGTTTTGTCAGCGGACCAGATGCGGTAGCCGGAAGTGAGGTGAGGTCACGTGACGAACCGCTCGGGTCAACTTTGAAAGGAGAGTTCTGGTTTTTCTCTTTTATTTTATTTTATTTTTTTTTCAAAGTAATTAACAAGATGGCGTCTACTCGTTTTGACACGTGGCCATGATCCCCGAATACATCGTCTGGTGAACACACACAAATACGGATATATATATATATATATATATATATATATATATATATATATATATATATATATATATATAAGTCCAATTGTTAGTTTTGAACCGATGAATCTCAGAAATGATTAAAGATTTATTACTGGAATTCTCCGAGATTTTTTATAACATTATTAGACTTTACCTTGAGCAATAAGAATATATAATTACTCTCCAAGATTAACAGAAGAATTATGATGAAATCGATCATAAATGATAACTGCGTCCTGGCTAAGACGATAAGCTACGTCCAACAGCAAGGCATCTAACCAGGAGGTTTTGAGGAGCGTGGATTTTTAATTTTTTGACTTGTTTGTTATAGATTGGTTAAGCAGGAGCGGAATCTAATACACGTCGATGAAACGCGTTATTAATAAAGTTTTACACTGTGTCCCATTATCTCCACTTTTGTTTCGGATGATATTATGCATCCTTCTAACGCGCATATCTATCTATCTATCTATCTATCTATCTATCTATATATATATATATATATATATATATATATATATATATATAAGCGTATAAAAAGAGAATAAATGAAGTATAATTCCACTGTCCGTCACATTTAATTTATAAAAGGGTACAATATTGAGTAGAGCTAAATATTATTTATTTTAGGATATTAAAACAAAAACATGTTAAAAATCACTACACAATTACAATTATGTTTCAACACTACAAATGGGTCTCCTCCGGCGACGTTAAACTACTGGGGAGTGAACGATTAATTTCATTTCTAAAAACAGAATACTTCCTCTTTTTTCGATGAGTTTGTATCAGGTCATCCCATAAGTTCTGTACGAATTTTGAATAAAGAAAACAAGTGACCAAATGTTACATTTAATTACAGATTCAATCAACAATGTATTTTCCCTGATTATCTATGACTTCCTTCCATCTATTAACAAACACTAATTCCATTACTGTAAAATTCTTTTTGGCTTTGATTCGAAGAACTCACAAATGTCAGTTTTAACCTCTTCCTGTGTTACAAAAGCTGTTTCTTCCAAATGATTCTGTAAGCTACGAAACAAATGGTAGTCTGAAGGAGCAAGATCGGGAGAATAAGGTGGATGAGGAATTTTCTCCCAACCAAGTTCTTCGATCTTTTGTGACGTGATTCTTGCTGTGTGGGGTCGCGCACTGTCCTGATGAAACATCCCCCTTTTTAGATTCACTAGAGCAGGTCTTTTTTTTCCTCAAAGCTTGTTTCAAACGCTCTAATTGCTGACAGTACATTTGAGCATTAATTGTTGCATTAGGTGGTAAGAATTCAAAGTGGATTATTCCTTGGCGATCCCACCAGATTGAACGAAGACCCTTTTGCCCATGAAGTTCCTTTTTCGGCTGTGGCTGGGGTCCTTCTCCTTTACCAAGCCACTGTGTACGACACTTAACATTTCGATAAAAGACCCATTTTTCGTCGCCAGTCACAAGTCTATCCAAAAAAGGTGAAACAAGTTAGCGAGAATAGAGAGAAGAGCAGATGTCAACTCGGGATTTGAAGTTGTTTTCAGACAACTCATGAGACACCCATTTTCCAAGTTTAGGAACTTTGTTGTTGAAGATGACGATGAACAGTTGTATGGTTTGAACTGAGAACCACTGCCAATTCCTTAAGGGATAAAGCAGGATTTTCTTTCAAGGGCTGCTTCAAGAAGCTTTTCATCAAACTCAACTGGACGTCCGGTTCCATCTTCATCTTCAAGGGTGAAATCTCCACCTCTGAATTTTGAAAACCATCTTCTGCAAGTTCTTTCATTCACACATTCCTCTCCATAAACTGAGTGAATGTTCCTAGCCGCTTCGGCTGCTGAGTTTCCTTTCTTGAACTCATAAAGCATTATGTGCCTCAAATGATTCTTGGGTACTACCATGTTAGCAGGGTTTTAATCAAACAAAATTTAATTGTATTGTTCTCTGAAATAAAATTTGATCAGTTTAAATGCATCTAGACATAAAAATAATGTTCAGCACCATTGGACATTATAAAATACTCTTTAAATTTCGTTCATTTTAACAAAAAGTTAAAATTCGGACAGAACTTATGGGATGACCTAATATTAAGCGTAGGTCACATTTGATTGGTTAATCACGGTAAATCCACAACCCTATTTTTAATATATATTTATTAAAGATATTTTTATGTTTAACGTTCTTTTTTATAGATACAAGTATTTAAGTAAATGCTCTGTTTTATAATAAACAGTATTAAATAACATTTACCGGCCTGAATGTCGAGAAATTTTCATAGAAAATATTCGTTCTTTGACAGGATTTGAACCTGCATCCTATACGGAACCGTCATTTACGCTGACGTGCCCTACCGATCGGCCACAAAGAAGCGTTCGGTAGACAAGGTCGAATTTACTGCTTATAAACTTCAATCTTCCATGAATCTCGTACATTCATAACTGCTCTGGCGTATCAAATGTAAACGAATCCTGTCAAAGAACGAATATTTTCTATTCAGGCCGGTAAATGTTATTTAATACTGTTTATTATAAAACAGAGCATTTACTTAAATACTTGTATCTATAAAAAAGAACGTTAAACATAAAAATGTATTTAATAAATAAATTGTCGGACTTTGTCCATTTCTATATATATATATATATATATATATATATATATATATAACATGCGAAGCTCGGAATAAACGCTCCTGATAATATCCAAAACAACATAAAAGAATATTTTTAAGCCGTCAAACCTACAGAGAAATTAACAAAACCTAAAACAAACCCCCTTGAAAATGGCTAAAGAAGTGGCGACTAGTAATTCCTGTCCCATAATGATAAGACATTAGCTTGATGAAGACAAGATCAAATTCAGCGCTGAATATTTCAACCAATAATGACAAATTCTGGAATGTGTAGATCGTTTGGAGGTCAACAAAAAGTTTGGATTTAAAACTGCGACTATTCTATTTAGGATCCGGAAAATCTTATAAGCTCTGAGTCATAAATAATTTCCGTTATATTTTTATCAACTTTATTCTTAATAAAATAAACGATGAATATATTTTATATTCTCCACTATCTGTAATGTATGGCTAATTGTCACTTATCAGGCTGCTTTTTGATAACTTTTGAGTAAAATTCCGTAGGTTTTGATGCGAAAAAATGAACTCTTGTTTTTCATGAGAGAAAGCTTTTGCCAGCCGAGCGTTTTGCAGAGTTCGCAAGAGGTAAAAATTGGTTGGCACAAGATCGAGTGGGGTAAAACAGACCAAATGAGATCCACAATATTTTCTGTATTATTTTTGTGGATAAAGAAGAACAATTTTTCTTACTTCCACGGCGTACGCCGCCATCAGTCATCAACTGCAGGAATGCAATCGGCGTATTCTAAGCCCCATCAATAGCGGGGAGTTGACCACTTGAATTTCAGTCAGTTATGTGCCATGCGTGATACACGCTTAGGCGATCATGTATCTTTCGATACATGACTAACGAGGCAAATTAGGTTGCCATTTCTTTCTGTGGTAGACCAGTTGCCATTCAAGGCTAGAGAACCCGGTCTGTCCTGCTATTTACTCATAGCTGGAAGGAGAAGAAGAAGATTCATACCTTTCCCAAAAATATTGGCACGTAAGTGAATGCAATGGATTCGAGTGGAATTCGAACTCGACTCTCCGGTTCCTCAATCCGAGCCGATAACCATTACTCCACCGTACACAATGTTTGGGCATTCCAAATTTATTCTTAACTATCATGTATGATTACTAGTTAAGTTGATACAATAATCATTACAGTTGGAAAATTATTTTTTGTCTTAGCCTAATAAGTATTATCTTTCGACACGTATACTGACTTCGATTTTTAAGAGAATTTTTTTATAATTTTCAACCAACGGTACCACTAGCTACTCAGTCACTAAATACCAAATATTTCCATATAATGAAATGGATATTAAAATTAGTGCTAGAATTAAGGAGAACAGATACTACACTTTGATCCTAGCCCGATGGCCAAAGAGTGAAGGAAAGCGTCACTTCAAGAAAATTTGCTTCTTGATCAATGAATGCCGAATGTTTCCTTGTAGGCAAACGTATAATATTACCATTAAAGATGAGACCAGATACTACAGTTTGAGGCCTGCCTGATGGCTACGGAATTATGGAAAGCGTAACTCGAGTAGCACTGGCTGCTCGATCAATCAATGCCTCATAAGGAAACGGCTAATAATATCATTTCCATTAGAGATGAGGGGAACAGATGCTACACTTTGTTTCCAGCCCGATGGCCAGGGGGCAAAGAAAAACGTAAATATTAACTTTACCATTCAGTCAGTCGTGTACCATGCGTGATACACACTTAGGCGATCATGTATCTTTCGATACATGACTGACGAGGCAGATTTTTTCCCCGCAGTAGGTTTTCATTTCTTTGTACAGTAGGCCAGATGCTATCCAAGGCTATAGAACCCGTTCTGTCCAGGTATTTATCCATAGCTGAAAGGAGAAGAGGATTCATACCTTTCCTTTTAGCATGTAATTGAATGTAATGGATTTGACTGGAATTCGAACTCGGCTCTCTGATTCCTCAATCCTAGCCTCTTATCCATTACCCCATTGTGCCACTGTTTTAAAATAATACAACTGTAGGAGAGAAAGATATACAATACGAATTGATGCAAACACACACACATATTTCAATCAGTGGTGAACTGGCCCGTGTGTCAGCTGGGCCCTTGATGGAGTGCCTCTCTACCCATATAGACGAAAATATATACTATTTACTAAATAAACGGAGCGTCTACTCAAATACGAGTATCCACTAAAGAAAAGTCCCCTACGCTTTCATCTCACTTTCTACCAATCTCATTCCCACTCTCTCTTTGTCTCTCTTTTTCCGCCTTCTCTCTTAACCCATCTCACTCAGTTTTCCTATTTCTATCACTCTTCCCCTCTCGCTTTCTTACCATTTCCTTATTTCAAAGTCTCTTTCTTTTGTTCTTCCTCTCTTCTCACTCTCCCAGTCACTGCCTATCTCTTTCCGACTTCTACCTTACTCTTCTCTTTCCCGGCCTTTCCTTATCTATTTTCCACTCTCACTTTCCTTCACTCTGCTTATTCCTCAATCTTTCTCTTTTCCTCCTCTCTTACTCAGACTCTTCCTCTCACTCCCTTTCTTTATCTGTTCAAATTCTCTTTTACTCATCTATCTCCCTTATCTCTCTCTTCCACACGCGTTCCTACTCTGTCAATTTGTCTTTTTTTTTTCGACTCTTCTCTTCCCCTCTAACTTTTCAAATCGCTTCCTTTCTATCTATCTCCCTGTCTTCTCCTCTGTTTCTCGCCCTACTCGCCCTTTTTCTCTCTCTCTCCCTCTCTCTTTCCTCTCCCTCCCTTTAGTCCTCCTCATTTCTCTTTCAGTATCGGCTACAAACCCTTTCCTACAATCCTTAAATCTGTTCGAGGCAACCATGTGACCTGCTGGGGTCATATGACACGTGCCTGATCTTCAGTTTCCTTTTGTCCCCTTCCCCACAAACACCCCTACAGATTTGAAGTTTTCTTAACCTTCTGCCTTTCTCTGCTCTTCCCCATCGACAGCCATTCGCTTATTTCATTAGCAAGACTCCTTGGCTCATATTTTTGACGACCTGGCCGTGTGCTGCGGAGAGATCCCATATCAACTTGCCTCTGGTTTTAAACAGTGCTACAGTCACGTGATTATGCTGCCATGCCCTTTTGAAAAAGAAGACGACACGTGTCGATAAAAGCGATCAAACCCTGTAACACGCTAATTTTAACGTAATAATCTTGTGCCATTCAGAAATATCAATATTTGGAGAAAATTCTGATATGAAAAAAACTGATTTGTGTCTAATGTACAGCACCAGGGATATTTTCTCTTTGATGTGATACTTCTATATGTATAAATGCGAATGTCAGTGTGTCACACGTTTTCAACTTTACTCCTAGAAGCTGTAGCCCAACATAGCATACCATTTGGGAATCAGGCCGACTCCGTGAACAAATTAAAAACATTCCTAGCTGAATCCGGATTTGCAATCCTGAAATTTTTAATTCCTAAATTTTCATTACCGCCATTGTTTTCGGCGATTTTTTACGTGTCTTTTTGCGACGAATTTTTTGTACGATAACAGTTTTTATAACCTGGAAATAAATTTGGGAATAATCGAAATTAATTGCGAAATCCAGCTAAATTCACCCTTAAAATAAAAATAATTGTTTGTACGGAACATAAGGACCTACGTACATTAAATTGTCTTTAAATGGTGGTAGAAGAATTATCGTTGAACTTTTAAAATGTAAGCTTAAATATTAATGCAATACTTAAATGCAGCGATCAATTTTGAGTTCTTCTGTAGTTTATTGTAGCCTAACGTATCTGCTCCTCCCTACCTATTGTGATGAAGGTCTAATAAAGAGCTCTCAACAGGAGCTAACTTAAATGTCGCTCGATTCCGTCTTTCTTCTAGCAGTTATGGACTAAAAAGCAAGGTAGTCTGGTGACAAAATTTTGAATAACTATAAGAGAAAGTAAAAAAAAAAATCAAAATAAGACAAGACAAAGCAAAGCAACTATAAGACAGCAACAAAGTAAAAATTTCACAAAAAAGAAATAATGTTCACACGCAAAAAGCATACAGTCACCTGGTTATATAGCCAACTGACTTTCAAGTAAGAAAAAAAAAACAGCGTGTTGATAAAATCGAGGATTGTCCATTTTTCTTGGCTAGAAACAAATCCTGCTATGCATCTGTAGAATTTGTCTATAAGTTAAGGGAAGGGCGATTTTAACACTCATTCCCCCCCACATTTGTATTTATGGAGAAGCGGAATTAAATGCTCACCCAGTTTTATATATATATATATATATATATATATATATATATATATATATATATATATATATATATATATATATATATATATATATATATATATATATATATATATATATATATATAATAAATGGACAAAAAGTCCGACAATTTATTTCTACCGAACGCTCCTTTGTGGCCGATCGGTAAGGCACGTCAACGTAAATGACGGTTCCGTATAGGATACAGGTTCGAATCCTGTCAAAGGACGAATATTTTCTATGAAAATTTCTCGACATTCAGGCCGGTAAATGTTATTTAATACTGTTTATTATAAAACAGAGCATTTACTTAAATACTTGTATCTATAAAAAGAACGTTAAACATAAAATGTCTTTTAATATATATATATATATATATATATATATATAAAAAAAAAACAAACACTAATATTCCATGGTCATAATTTATTCCATTGGAATCGTAAATACGATCCAAATCATCAGACCTACAAATTCAAAATGAAAACAGAAAAAAACAACTCCGGAAATCAAAACAGAATTTAGAGAAAGTGTAAGTATGAGGAAGTATGATATATATATATATATGCATCATTGTATAAAATCATTGGGGATTAGTATTTTAAACCTCCCCCAAAAAATTTTACATATATATTTTTATGAATTTCATTTAGCAAATGAGATATTTTAGTGATCATGTTGCGTCAAATAAATGTGATTTTATGTTGAAAGGAAAAACTAAAGACCCTATTTGGCCTTGTGCCACATTTCAAGTATTCAAAAGTATTAATAAATCTTAATTCTCTCATATTTGTACACTTTTGTACAATAAATATACATTTACGTAGATAGTAACAAAAATTCGCTTGGTTTTGTATATATATATCATCAAACTATATAATAATTAACAGTGTGTATTTATTTATATATTTCCTGTCCCACTTGTAGTGGGAAGGGAAGTAAATCAACTTAAGTTAGTCAATTTATGAGGGATTACTTCCCTTCGTCATTTGAATAATCTATACAAATAACATATTTATCTGCATTTAAACGAAACTACTTCCCTAGCAAAATGACCCGTTTAATTATTCAGTTTTCTTTACTCCAAATTTTCTTAGATTGCATTCATATTTGTTCGAGCCTTTCATGTAAAATACACAGATACCTTTGCCTATTAAGTGATCGTCTTGGTCTGGAAATAGGCTTTGTCGTCACTGTCTTTGTCATTCTGTTGCTAATCATTTTCTTGCAAGAGATATTTCCGTTTCACTGTTATATTAAACATAACATCTATAACATGAAAAGACATTGAACAAAAAGCGATTTGTATAACACCGGTGAGTAATCAATGAATCATGAGATACCATTGGATGTCTAAAATATCTAAAGCGAATGGATTAATGAAACGGTTCATTGGTCTCTATTTTAGTCGTGAATTCTTTATCTCCGCCTTATTGAATCCCAAGACATCGTTACAAGACATTTGTTTCACTGCATCTGACTTAAAACTATCTAACAATAGCCGTCATTTTTTTATGACATATGTACACTAGTTTTAAATTATCATCGGGGAAAATGTTTGAATTTTAACACCCACGCTCATAAAATTGTACATATGGGCTTAATTAGGATTTCATAGAGCAAATGAGGTATTACGGTGATTGTCGTGTATCCGGGAAGTGTAAATTTGGGGAAAGAAATAACGTAGCTACGGATTGATAGGTAAGTGATTGCGGCTAGCTAGTTTAAAAGATAATACAGTTGAAGAAAAGCCTCCCCAATTTCTATCCTTGTGCCACATTTGTAATTTTAGTAGAATAAAAATGACTTCTCGGAGATTACAACCAACATTTTGCTTCTTTTTTTTTTTTTTTTTTTAGTAGAACTTCAATGAATTCTCACCGGAAGTCGAGGGAAGAATGCGCGGTTGGGGGAAAAATCTGTGAATGGGATGTCAGAGAAAAAATATAAGTGTGAATGAATTTGTGAGCGCTTGTCTAAAGATAAGGAGAGAGATGCGATTTGCGTGTTTGGGGTGTACACAAGAAAAGTATGTGAATACGTCAATCGGGCTGGAACAGGCTGCAAAGCAATGAATGAAATATCAGTCGGCCATTAAGATGAGAAGAGATAGAAGTGATAAGGTGGGTGGGGGAGAAAAGGTTGATATATGAACATAAGAGAGAGAGAAAAGGAAAAACGATTGGTGGGAAAAGATTGGAAAAGAATAAAAGTGCGACAAAAGGAAGACGAGAAAAGAATTTAGGAAGATAAAGTTGTATGGAAAATAAGATAAGGAAGAAAGAAAGCCCCCCCCCCGAAAAAACGAAGAACGGAAGAATAGAATGAATTTAGAGAAAAAGGAAAAGAACGATAAGAAAAGAAAAGAGAAGAAAAAGGAAAAAGAAATAAAATTGAATGAAGAGGAAGAAAGAACAGAACGAACAAACAAACGGCGCTAGAAAGAAAGAAAGAAAGAAAGAAAGAAAAAGAAAGAAAGAAAGAAACGGCGGTTTCAAGAAAGAAAGAAACAAACAAATAAAAACACGATGTGAAGAAAAAAGAAAAAAGAAAGAAAGAAAGAAAGAAAGAAAGAAAGAAAGAAAGAAAGAAACAGCGGTTTCAAGAAAGAAAAAACAAACAAATAAACCACGATGTGAAGAAAGAAAGAAAGAAAGAAAAAAAACGGCGCTTTCAAGAAAGAAAGAAACAAACAAATAAACCACGATGTGAAGAAAGAAAGAAAGAAAGAAAGAAACGGCGCTTTCAAGAAAAGAAAGAAACAAACAAATAAACCACGATGTGAAGAAAGAAAAAAGAAAGAAAGAAAGAAAAAAGAAAGAAAGCGCTTTCAAGAAAGAAAGAAACAAACAAAAATAAACCACGATGTGAAGAAAGAAAGAAAGAAAGAAAGAAAAGAAAATTTCAAGAAAGAAAAAACAAACAAACAAACCACGATGTGAAGAAAAAAAAGAAAGAAAGAAAGAAAGAAAGAAAGAAAGAAAAAACGGCGATTTCAAGAAAGAAAAGAAACAAACAAATAAACCACGATGTGAAGAAAGAAAGAAAGAAAGAAAGAAAGAAACGGTGGTTTCAAGAAAGACAGAAACAAACAAATAAACCACGATGTGAAGAAAGAAGGAAAGAAAGAAAGAAAGAAAGAAAGAAAGAAACGGCGATTTCAAGAAAGAAAGAAACAAACAAATAAACCACGATGTGAAGAAAGAAAGAAAGAAAGAAACGGTGGTTTCAAGAAAGAAAGAAACAAACAAATAAACCACGATGTGAAGAAAGAAGGAAAGAAAGAAAGAAAGAAAGAAAGAAAAGAAAGAAACGGCGATTTCAAGAAAGAAAGAAACAAACAAATAAACTACGATGTGAAGAAAAGAAAGAAAGAAAGAAAGAAAGAAAAGAAAGAAATAAAAAAGAAACGGCGGTTTCAAGAAAGAAAAAACAAACAAATAAACCACGATGTGAAAAAAGAAAGAAAGAAAGAAACGGCGGTTTTCAAGAAAGAAAGAAACAAACAAATAAACCACGATGTGAAGAAAGAAAAGAAAAGAAAAGAAAGAAACGGCGGTTTCAAGAAAGAAAGAAACAAAGAAATAAACCACGATG